TCAAGCAATCCAGCCACCTCAGCCTCTCAGCGTGCTAGGATTACAGGCATGAGTCACTGCACCAGGCCTCTGAAATACTTTTTAAGTTCCATTTTCAAAGACCAGTCTCCACTCTATTCCAATAAATGCACACCAGTTAGTTCTGCATCGAAAGAATAAATTTTCTCTTCAAATTCCTTTTGTTCTGAACACTGAATTCAGAAGCTATATATTAAAGGCAAAAGTGAGCATGCTAATTCGGTAGTAGAATTTAATTAAGTTTAAAAGTTCCTCCATATAAAACATACTTTTATGGATTTGGTAAAATTGTTTGACGTGACTTTTGCAAAAAGTGGGAAAAAATTTAATTATAGATCTTAATCTTTCTGAGGTACAATCACTATTTTACATCCTATAGATTACATGTATGAAACTTAATATACACTCCTTTGACAGGACAGTTAATTGGCAGTAATGTTAAAGTGGAACAAAGTGACTGAAATCATTTTACATGTATTTTTTTTAATTTCAGGTTAATGTAAGGGTGCAAACAACCAAATCACAAAATTTGAATTTGTTGGGTAGAGTCCTTTTTGTACCTCTGTCCTGCACCAAAAAGGTGTACCCTTACATTGTGCCCATTCAGTGGAAGTACTCCAAACCCCCACCTCACTTCCCCCTCTCTTGAAATAAGTTTTTCTATTACATGGGCATGAATTAGATTGTCTACTGGCTTCATATTATTATTGAGTACATTGGATATTTGTTTTTTCCATTCTTGTAATACTTCACTGAGAAGAATGTGTTTCCGTTCCATCCAGGTTAATACAAAATACGTAAAGTCTCCATCTTTTTTTTATGGTTGAATAGAATTCCATGGTATACATATACCACAGTTTGTTAATCCATTACTGGGTTGATGGGCATTTGGGATATTTCCACATCTTGGCGATTGTAAATTGAGCTGGGATAAACAATCTATTGCAAATGTCCTTATGATAATTTTTTTTTTTTTTCTGGGTAGATGCCTAGTGGTGGAATTGCAGGGTCAAATGGGAGTGCTAATTGGAGTTCTTTGAGGATTCTCCATATTTCTTTCCAGAGGTTGTTAATTTGCAGTCCCACCAACAGTGTAAAAGTGTTCCATTCTGTCCACATCTGTGTCAGCATCCACAACTTTGGGGACTTTTTGATCAGGACTAATCTTATTGGGGTTAGGAGATATCTCAGGGTGGTTTTGGTTTGCATTACTCTGATGATTAGAGACCATGAGCATTTTTTCATATGTTTGTTAGCCATTCCTCTATCTTCCTCAAAAAAGGTTCTGTTCATGTGTTTTGCACAGTAATAGATGGGATTCCTTGCTCATTTTGTTGATTAATTTGAGTTCTCTATAGATCCTAGTTGTCAAGCCTTTGTTAGATTTGTAATATGCAAATATCTTTTCCCATTCTGAAGGTTGTCTATTTGCTTTGTTGTGTCCTTAGCTGTGCAGAAACTTTTTGGCTTAAGTCTCATTTGTTAATTTTTTTTGTTATTGCAATTGCCATGGAAGACTTCTTCATTAAATCTTTCCCCAAGCTGACATCTTCAAGAGTTTTTCCCACACTTGCTTCTAGGATTTTAATCATTTTCTGCCTTAGATTTAAATCTTTTATCCACCTTGAATCAATTTTTTTAAGTGGTGAAAAGTGTGGGAATATGCATTGTTTTTAATTCACAGCAGGGCAACTACACTCATCCTGGAAGGTTCCACCCAGGGCACCTCTCTGGTAAGGGTTACCAACCCCCCATTTCCTCAGATGGAATTAGAATCCCACCATGTCTGCTCCCATGATACCTATTCCATGTCCTGTATCTATTGCTAAATTGTATGTTAACTGTTTTCATCTTTATTAGTTCCTCCCACCCTCTATCAGTAGATAATAAGAATCTTTTTAGTTATTTGCCTTGATTATTCAATCCTGAACATAGTTCATAGCATCCATATATTGACAGAATTTTATTGTCAATGATATGCAATTATATTACCAAGTTGAGGAAGATAAACTTTGCCCTGGACTGGACTAGTTCATAGTCTAGTAGGGAAGACAATATGCACATGAATGGTTCCCATGCAGTCATGGATTCCTGGTGAATGTGTGTACCAGATAGTATAGCAACTAACTTGCCTGGAGCTGGGTTTCTGAGTAAGTCAGTCTTGAGCTGAGTTACTCAACATACATCAGGGGGTGAAGGAGTGGCTGTAAGACAGTTGGAACAGGGTTGGTGGTGCTAGGCCTAGCAGGGCCATGAGACTGGGTGTGAGGCAAGATAGAAGGATCCTTCATGAGTGAGAACAGAGGAACAATCCACTCAAGCTAAAGGGGTGGGGATCCTGAGAAGAGGGAGATTGAAATGACAATCACAACAACAAAAATAAATAAATGGGAGTTATTAAATAAAAAAGCACTGCATAGATAAGGAAATAGCCAATAGAACAGATGACCTACAGAATGGGAGAAAATATTTGCAAGCTTATACATCTGATAAAATGATAATGACCAGAATCTACAAAGAACTCAAGCAAATCAGTAAGAAATAACCCACTAAAAAGTGGACAAAGGACACAAATAGAAGCTGTTCAAAAGAAGATAGACAAATGATCAATAAACATATGAAGAAATGTTCAATGTCACTGATCATCAGAGAAATGAAAACTAAAACCACAATGAGAGCTGGGCACAGTGGCTCACACCAGTAATTCCAAAACTTGGGAGGCTGAGGTGGGTAGATTGCCTGTGCTCACAGTTTTAAGACTAGCTTGAGTCTGAGTGAGACCCTCATCTCTAAAAATAGCTGGGCATTGTGGCGGGTGCCTATAGTCCTATAGTGCCTATAGCCTACATGGGAGGCTAAGGCAAGAGAATTGCTTGAGCCCAAGAGTTGGAGGTTGCTGTGAGCTATGACACCACAGGACTCTACTAAGGTGACAAAGTGAGACTCTGCTGTGAAAAAAAAAGAAAAACCACATTGAACCTTATTCCAGTTTGAATGGCTTTTTAAAAACAGCTCAAAATCAATAAAGGCTGTTATTAATGTAGAGAGAAAAGAACACTTATACTCTAGTGGTGGGACTTCAAATTAGTGCAAACTCTATGGAAAACAAAATGGAGATTCCTCCAATAAGCAAAATAGACCTACTATTTTACTAACAATCCCATCATTGTGTATTTATTCAAAGGAAAAGAAGTCATTTTATCAAGAACACACCTGTGCTCAAATGTTTATTACAGCACAATTCACAATTCAAAGATATGGAATCAACCCAAGTGCCCATCAATTTATGAGTGGATTAAGAAAATGTGGTATATGTTTATCATGGAATACTACTCAGCCACAAAGAAGGATGAATTAATGCCTTTTGCAACATTTTGGCTATACCTAGACACCATTATTCTAAGTGAAGTATCTGAAGAGTGGAAAAACAAACACCACACATACCACTATTAAATTGGAACTAATCAATGAGCACATATGTGCAGAGAGGGAAGTGAAACTCAGTAGAAATCAAGAAGGGAGGAGTGGGGGGGGGGATAAGTATGAATCTAACAGGTACAATGAACCACTATCTGGATGATGGGAATACTTATAACCCTCACTCAAGCATAGAAAAAGTTATCTATGTAACCAAAAACATTTATAACCTTGTAATATTTTGAAATAATAATTTTAAAAAACCAGCAAGCATTTGGCATAGATTAGGCATACTCTGCTGGTGATGTGCTAGATGGCTAGAGAATATAAAAGAGAATAGAAAGAGCATTTATCATCTTTCTAAAGATTTACAGTCTTAATAGTTTGACCAAGAATGACACAGGTTGTCAATAACGTAGCAAGACTGATAATCAGTTTGCTAAACTGGTAAAATATTAAGTTCTTTTGTTCCATTTGTAAATGGCAGTTACTCCACACTGCCCTGTACCTGCTCCTTACTCTATCTGCCCTGAGTATCCCCCAATCCCTCTTCCATGATGGTCAGACCTTCCTGTGATCCAGCAAGTAAAGGGTTGATACCCTTAAGCACTAAATATTTTACATATAATCCCAGGGAATGTACTTGGCCAAGAGGAAAAAAAAAATTAAAAGCCTTGAAGCAGCATGAATATTTTGCAAACTGCAATTAAAAACCAAGATTATGAAGTTCCAGTTGGATAGAGAGGAAATGGAATTGAAGAACTGAGAGGGGCAATGAAGATCCACAGAAGGATTTTAAGCAGATATGCTTTTGAAAACAATTTTGACCAACATTAGTATACGAGGATAAGTACTCCCGGATGTTGGTTGAATGAGCTATCGTGATGCTAATGCTAAATTGTTAGTGGTAACATATGTTCTTAATAGGTGTGTTTTTGCTATTGCGCACTCTGTTTCTACCAGCTAATAATGAGTTAGCTTCCACATTTGCAAGATGGCTAGTCATTATTTGGGATCTTGTCTGCCGATAAAACAGAAGTAAAAGAGACCAAGGGAACAGAGAAAATTGATACAGAGGTTTGTTTCCTTCAGCACAAACCTAACCAATGGGAGAGAAAAAGAAGAAAGGCTTTATAAATACAGACTTGTGCGCAGTGGATTTACCTCATTATCTATATAAACTACAGAATCTGTTAGTCCCCTGCTACTCCCTGTGGCAATTGGTGATGTCTGTATTAGAAGCATGAACACTGAGAAATCACTGGCGGAGGGAAACGAAACTTGGTTGATCTGGAGTGCATTTTTTCCTTTTTTTCCCCATTTCATTTAGAACTTTTGACCAAATAGTAATGAAATGCTGATAAATGGTTCACTGCAAACAGTGAAGTTTTGGTTCAAAAAGTGCTGCCAAAAGGTTTGCTTGTATGGACATATTGATAGAATTGGTTCTCCTTTTCTATAATTTTTTCAGAATATAATATATTATCTTCCAGAAAAGATAATATATTCCTCACTAATGGATGTGTACACTAAGTGATAATTAAACACTCAAAACAAGACCTGTATAAATCACTGTTTTATTTTAATATTATAGTTTACTCTTCTTCATAGTTGGCAGTTACTACATTGTAGATAATGACAATCACAATCAAAGTAATTCCTATCATCACATATATGTTTTTTCTTGTTCCATCTTAACAGTAAATGGCAAATAAATGATTTCTGTCAAATATTAATTTTTGAATTCTCTCAGCAGAAGTACCAAAAAAACCAAACAATCAGTAGAATAAGCATGCAAAACAAATAATTTAAGATTAACCCCATTAAGACTTATGGGTACAATATTTTCATATTCTCAAAGGTCTGTGATTATCTTAATGTGATAGAAATGTTTCTTGCACAGCGTTGTATTGCTGGAAGCTTTTCCCTTTTGGAGGTTCCCTTTCTTTATCCTTCTTATAGTAACTGGGCGTCCAATCCCAACAGCTCAGGTCAATCCTCTTCATTCCATACGGGTAAGCGCTCTGGAGGAAGAACAGATTCCAATTTCTGCCAGCGCTCTGGAGGCCACAGGATATGTGTAGCATGGGCATGCAGAAGTCCCAGGGAAATCTGAATCCATGAAAAACATAAAGCAACAAAGAAATCATTTTATAAGGATCATTACTAATATCTTGAAACAAAATTTTGATCTAGGCCTGACATTCCATGGAAAGGTGATGATGATTAAAAACAGAAAACAGCTTTTGTGTCCATTGAAATACAAAGAAAAAAACAATAAACACCTATAGCATGTTTCTGGGGGCAGTATGTGTGTAAACTCCATTAATCCTCACAAAAAACATCTGACATTCATTCTCTTATTATCTTTCTTTTACAGATGAGAAAACTAAGAGTCATAGAGCTACCAAGTGAAATCTGTTTTACATTCTCAAAATTTTCTGTAGAGTTCCTAGTATCTCCGAAAGACTTTTCTTTATGGACAATTCAGAGGGACCAGAAAAAATTTTATTTGGTGAAAAACATTGTGCCACCTACTATCTGAGCAGCATGAGTTAGGTGTGAGACTGGGTGGGCTGTCTCCATGGAGAGTGCACTGAGCAACAGGGAACTAGTACTCATGAAGAGAGGGGGAAAACCAAGGGAAAGCCAGACAAGGTGGGATAGATAGAGATGGAAAAGAAAAATATATCAAGATCATGGCAGATGGTGACGAACCACCATCTGCAGAGCTCAGCAGAGATCCCACGGGATGGAAGAAAAAGCAAGGGAGGGGATTTTCCTAGAAGACTTAGGGAGCCCTTACTCATCTGAAATTTCTTTAAATACACCAACTTCAGCAACCAGGAAAATGTGGCAAACTTTTTCAGAATGCAGATAAGGGTCTTACCTTCAGAAATTACCCTTGGATAGGTTGAAGGAAGGGCCTAGAAGTCTGTCTTCTGGTGGTGGTGGTTGTTATTATCAGGTAATATTTTAATGGTATTTAGAAGCTTACATAATCTTCTTATGGTTAGCACATATTTTTGAGTGTCGGCTATAAAACGAATATACATGTCCATTTTATCTGCCATTTTATTTTCAAATATTTTTCCTGTAAACTAGGACTCTGCAGGGATTAATATAAAACATTTCTTTCACTGAAGCTCTTTTATTTACTATCATATGCATTAAAAAAGCATCTTGTCCAGGGATTCAAAGCAGTGCTGCATGTTAGGGAAAGATTTCCAAAAAGATAATCAGAAACACATTGGGGCTTTTTTATTTTGTTTTGTTTTTTTTAAAGAAGAAATGGGAAGAAATAAAAACCCTTAACAACTTGGAATGCAAACAGAATAAGCCTAAAGGGTAGCAAGAAGCCCATGGGCTCAATAAAAGATTTTTCTTTAACTTGTTATTTGGAAAAATCAAACCCAAGAAGATTTAAAAGTGTGGTGCAAGAAACAGCTCCATCAAAAGTCACTGCTTATTTACATTTTGTGGCACTCATTTTCGTTCTCATTACTCGTGTATGCACACATATATTTTTTCTGAATTATATGAAAGTTATCATGTTGAATTTATCTCTAAAAATTTCAACATATATCTCCTAAGAACTAAAACTTTTTCCTACATGAACACAATAGCATTATTACATGCAAGATATTTAATATTGATACAGTAATATTACTTACGCAGAGTCTACATTCTAAATGTGCTAACGGTCTCAATAATATCTTTTATGGCCACTTTATTTTTAAAATTTAAGATAAACTCAATGATCACACAGTGAATTTGGTGGTCATTAGTTTGCATCAGGTTACATTTGCCTTGTAAAATGTCCCACATCAGGGATTGCTTGATTTTTTTTCTCTCATGAATAGATACAAGTTAAATTTTTTTGGGAAGAGTACAATATAGTTCATATTATATTTATATTGTATTCTTCCCATTCCATCACATTGGGGCACAAAATGTTGGTTTGTCCCATTATTGAGATGCTAAGTTTAATCAGTTGATTAAGGTGATGTTGACCAGATTTCTCCATTATAAATAAACATTTTTCCCTTTTTTAATTAATAAGTAATCTGTAGGATATTTTGAAATAATGTAAGTAGTCTGTATGTCAACATTTCATCTAATTATTTTAATATCCATTCATGATTCTGTCTGAATCCATTATTAATTAGAGATTACAAAGACAGTGATTTTCTAATTCTAATATTTATTTCATATTTATTGGCTGGCACCCGTCTCAAAAAAAGCACTTTCTCTCTCAATCCCAACTGCCTCTGTTTTAATGTCAAAGATCCTGTTCTTAAGCCAAAACCTGTTAGCATGTGTTTGATTGGTTGATTGATGCTCAAATGTCCTAAGTTCCGTCAGAGTGTGCTGTGTATCCTTTGGACATGTCACCATTAGCCTTTAAAGACTTCTTTACCTTTGGGGACCGCAAGTTATTGCAGGCTTACCTTGTACTTTATGCCTGTCCCACCTAAATTAGGCATTTCTTTAAAGTACTTTGGTTTATGTTAGCAAGGAAT